ACTCCAGGCCTCAGTCCTGCTGCCTTCAGTCTCCGTGGTCAGGCTTGAGCAGCCAGCCAGGCTGTCTAGTCTCTAAGGGTTCCCAGGGTTCTAGGGCAGTCTTTTCTGGAGCCAAATCAGTGCCATACCCAACAGTGCATGCAATAAACAGGCTTTGCCTTTGCCACATGGAAACTGTAGGTTTTCCTTTTAGATTCTCTGGCTCCTATGCTCTATGCCTACCAATCTCCCCCACTTTCCCCAACTCCTGAACACATCTTATTTCCTTAATCCTCTTCCCCTCCTTGGCATTTGTAGGCGAGGGTCAGCCTGGCTCTGTCACGGGGAACTCTCTGGGCATGCTCACCATGAATTCTTGCTGGATCAGTTCTAAAATAGTACTGGCTTCACCCAGGAGCAGGGAATTAAGATTCTGGAACCTGGTGAAATGGCCCCATGAAGACATACTTTTCAAACTGAAATAAATCTGCAAATGCAACAATATCAAGTGTTGGGTAGCATGTGTATGGAGCCTTCATACCATGCTGGAGGGAGTGTAGACTTGTACTTGTTGGGGAAACCATTTGGCAATAACCTCCGAAGTTGGAAACAGGCAGAACTACTGACCACACACAGTTCCTGCACAAAAATGTTTGTGTACAGGACACTCAAAGGGTCATTAAGAGTCAGGAAACTGGAAGCAACCCACACATCCATCACCAGCAGAATATACAGACACTTGTAGACTGTGGCATATTCATCTAATAGGGTACTTCACAGCAGTAAAAATGGATAAACCACAAGGCATAAAAACAATAATGGGCAGTTATAAAACACATACAATTGAGTCAAAGACAACCAATACACAAACATATGCAGACACAGATTCTGTAGGATTACATAAGGTTCAAAACCCAGTGAAACTATCATAGAGACACACATGTTTAGATGATGAAACTGTAAAGAAAAGCAAGAAAGACAGTTAACAGGAAAGGCAGGATGAGGTCCGACTCAGTGAGTGGGCATGAGTAGAAGGAGCCTGTGGGTGGCTCTTGGCATGGAAACATAATCTCATTTCTCGAACATGGTGGTGGTACACAGACATCTGTTAGTCTGTGCATGCACAGTTCTGTACGCACTTATCTGTGTGCCTGTGAGATATTTATTTATTTTTATCGGAAAGGCAGATTTACAAAGAAGAGAGACTGGTGCTCATATGGGATGCTGGCACTTGCAGGCAGAGGATTAGCCATTATTCCGGCATCTTTATTTTTCACAATTTCAGACAAAAATGACTTACTCAAAATTACTGCACCTGGCAAAGCTCCCTGAGCTGACTTACCAAGGGGTGAGGCTCTGTAGTTCAGATTTGCTTTCTCTTTCCTTCCTTCCTGTTTCACCTGCAAATGAAGTATCCATTCCTAGCTCCTTCTATTGACCCATAGATGCATGTGTGTGCAGTTGATCACATTGCCAAGCACGGATCTCACCCTGGGCAAACTGCCTCTCCAATCTAATCCTCTCTGTCCCGACTGACCTCCAGAAAACTACCCTGGGGACTCAAGAATTTCCAAAGACCAGGGGCAGAATTTGACTTCCATTCCTCTTGCAGAGTCAGGGTAGAAAGGGAGTGTTTTTCCCATTTACCCAACATTCTGTCTTTTCAATTACTGCAGACTCCAGACAGTCAGCAGGCATGAGCCAGGAGATGACCTCAAGCAGAGATGCAGGGCTCCACTCCATGGGTCCAGAAGCCCAGACCCATCCCAAGACTCTACTGCCACCACACAGCACTCCATTGCCTTAGAATGTCCAGCTTGTGGAAACCTTCCTCCAGATGGAACCATCTCAAACTCAAATTTAATCCAATCTAATGGGACATATGGAACATAGCCAGACTTCTGCGTTGAAATCCCCTTGGAAGAATCATTGTTTGTAAGTTCTGGTTAGGAAAAACCGATGCTTACTGGGCAGATGATGATGATTCGAAGAAACTTATGGGTTTGATTAGAAAGAGTCTTGGACCCAGAACCAGGAGGCTGAACTCCAGTTCTACCTCCTTAGCTCTATAATCTTAGACAACTGCAATTTCCTTGGGTCTCACATACCACCCAGATCACAAGAAGGAATGGGTTAAATGCGTATGGAATGATTTTTTTAAAAATATATAAAATGTCACACAAACATTAAAAGATTACTTTTAATATGGTCCATTGTTTACTATTAGCATACCATTTTTGAAACAGGGCTATCTCAATGACGCAACTAAAATAATATTTTTTGAGCAAAAACCCAATTGTGCTATTCTGCAGAAGATAACCTCCTGCTTGGTAGTGCAGCATCAACTTCTCACTCATCCCACCCATGACCAGCACAAGAGCTCAGCTGTTCAACAGACTCAGACATAGGTCTGGCCCTTGGATACAGCCCCAAGTCCTCTGGCCTTCTCAGGCGTCAGATGCTTGACCTTGGCCTTCCAAGTGCTGTGCTCTCCCTTCACAGCTATCTTTCTAAGGCAGTGTCTCCCAGATGGATAGAAAACCACAAGTTGCCAAGGTCAGGTGTAAGCAGAAGTGGCTGTCAGCCTTGTTTCTGTAAAAATGCAATCTTTTTCTTAAAAGGACATTGCACATTGACGTGATTCTGGGGCCTTGAGAAACAGGCCTTTTCCAATACTGGACTTCATTTCCCTTTCAGCCCATTGAGAAGAATCTGAGTGTGATTTCAAATGAGAGGGAGAGTCCTAAGCCTGCATGAAATCCAGTAAGAGTATGTTGGTGTGTCCCACTCCCAGCCTCATCACCTAACTGTCAAGATTAGCAACAAAAAGACCCAAGATGCCTGGTGACCTAATTCTCCTAGGGACTCCCTAGGGGAAAGCAGCAAGACACCGAGGAGGCACCTGGTACTATTGGCCACCCAACCTGTCTGCCAAGCTCAGTGTGTGGAACCCTGACTCCCTCCGTCCGACTCCATCAGTGAAGGTGGACTGTGGACTCAGCAGCGCCCCCAAAACAAAGGGCAACAGTCAGGGGAGCCTCATCCTGGACGGGGCCAACGTGCATGGAGAAAGCACTTGTGCCCAGTTTCTGCAGAGGAATGACTGTACCGAAACCAATCCTGGAATTTACAGCGTTTTGTCATCTTTGTCCCACCACTCTTGGCAAAACAAGATGGGAAAGTTTGATCCGTTTCTCCTTAGGGATAATCTAAGGACCTTATTTAAGTTAACCATTTCCAGCGTTTTTCATCACGACTAATGTACCTTACCCCCTCAGTCACACAAAGGAGGCAGGGCACCATTCTGCTTCATCCATAAAGTTAAGATGCGGGTGCCTGGCAATAGCAGACTAGTATTTCATCCCATCCTGACTCCAGACCCCATGCCCCTTTCTGCCACGCACAAGGCAGCTGTACTGCTTCACATCTTCTATTCACTAATAACTCCTTAGGGAACCGGAGCTCCTCCATGACAAACCTCAAAAGTGCACCTTTTTCACAAGAAATCACGCTGTTTACAATTATTGTGTTATAAAATTTACCAGTTAGGGCCCGGCGCGGTGGCACAAGTGGTTAAAGGTCCTCGCCTTGCACGCCCGGGATCCCATATGGGCGCCGGTTCTAATCCCAGCAGCCCCGCTTCCCTTCCAGCTCCCTGCCTGTGGCCTGGGAAAGCAGTCGAGGACAGCCCAAAGCCTTGGGACCCTGCACCCGCGTGGGAGACCCGGAAGAGGCTCCTGGCTTCGGATCGGCATAGTATCGGCCGTTGTGCTCACTTGGGGAGTGAATCATCGGATGGAAGATCTTCCTCTCTATCTCTCCTCTCTGTATATCCGCCTTTCCAATAAAAATAATAATAATAAAAAAAATCTAAAAAAAATTTACCAGTTATAGTAACACTCCAAAACTGAAAGAAACTGATTTCAGCTCGAGGCAGCACCCCTTTTTGGAGTATTATTCCAGGAACTGGATGCCACTCAGCAAAACACACCCATCGAGCTTCTCACCAATGAAGCTAAATGGTGGGCCTTATTTCTGGTGACTAAATAGTCTATTATTTATATAAAAAGTATATGTCAATGTTACTATCTGTCTGTAATAACACCTTACTCCCAACATCCTATCACATACTACTAATTGAAAATCATATGCCAGTTGGCCTAGGCTGTGTGGTCCTTTGTCTATTAAAATTCTACTAGTAGGGCCTGGTGTGATGGCCTAGTGGTTCATGTCCCAGTTGTTTCACTTCCTATCCAGCTCCCTGCCTGTGGCCTTGGAAAACAGCAGAGGATGGCTCAGGGCCTTGGGACCCTACACCCACATGGGAGACCCAAAAGAGTCTCCTGACTACTGGTTTCAGATTGACTCAGTTCCAGCCATTGCAGCTACCTGGGGAGTGAGCCATAAGACAGAAGATCTTTCTGTCTCTATCTCCTTCTATGTGTATATCTATCTTTTCAATAAAAATATAAAAAATAGATAAATCTTTAAAATTCTACCACTAAACAATTACTTCTAGGCCCATGTAGTGAAGTTACTTATCATTCATCATTCTTGCTTCTTTTTCTATAAAATGGATAAACTGGATGCACACACACACACACACACACAGGTGTACACGAGAATGATTAAAGAAAAACCAAAATCAGTGTACGGAATCACCAATCACACATCCAGAACCAATATGACTCCATATTAAAACTAGGAATAAGATATGTATTTCACCTTTGTATTTCATTTAGCTCTGAGCTTTCTGAAAATCAAAATGAAAACAGAAATACACTGACATATGTTCTTATAGATAAAAAATAGTATTTACAGTTTTGTTCCACTGATTCTCTTTGCCATCAGCAATTTGGCATGATTTTGGATGAAAGTTTTGCACATACGTTTCTTTTCCAAAGGATAGTATGGGTTAAAGTCTAGTCAGAGCACGTACTTTCTGAGAAAATACTGTAGGTGGTTTGATCCACTTTGGGACTTGAGAAAGAGAAGACTATCAAAATCTTAATCTTTCCTACCTCCTCCAGTTTATCCACTCGCCCCACCAGTTTGGTGGTCACTGAATGTAGCTTCAGTAGATCCAGGCCATACAAAGCACCTTCCAGCATGTCTATGATTGTAGAGACCTAGGAAGCAAGGGAGAGAGGTTAGTCCAGGGCTCAGGAGACACTTCCTATTATATTTCCATGTGGGAAGCTCAACAGGGAGGCCACTAGCCAAAAACTGAGAGATTGGCTCTGAAATGTATAGGCAATAATATACAGGTAAACACAATGGCTTATGTACATCACGTTTTGGATAAGCAAATGGGATAATCCTATAAGAACAAGTAAGCCTGAGGTCTACTCAGTCTCACAAATACCGTGCTCTTCTTCTATGATCTGCATCATTTGCACACGTCTTTCTACTAGGCTGTGTGCTGCTTGAAAGTTGTGTCTATTTTTGTCATCTGTCTCTCTGTTTTATAGTAACTGGTCCATAACAGGTAATCTATAAATACCCAACTAAGCAGCTAGAAACATCATTACCTTAAAGACATCCTTCTGAAACACACAACGTCTTTGTCTACGCAATCTCCTTTCCCCACACATCTCCTGGCATTCCAGCCTCCAGATGAAGAATTCCATGAAGGAAGCACTTAAGGGTTAGGAAAAGGCTCCTTCCTGCCCTTCCAAAGCAGACACCTGAGTTTGGGGTAAGGTCCATGGAAGGACTGCAGGCTACATGCTCTGCGATGGTACTCTGATTCTTAGCAGACAATTTGCCTGATACTGTTCCAGAAGCTTGCAGAACCCAGAGTTATAATTGGGTGACAATGACAGATTTATAGTACTGAGTAATGTAGACAAATCCTGGAAAACTCCTTGTACTGGTAACTACTACTCTGCTTAAAAGACTCTCAGTGACTACCAGGCAAGAGTGGGTGCAGAAGCCAAGCATAAAAGCAGTGCTTTACATGGTCACACAATTCATGGTCATGCCCAAGTCAGCCATCATTCATAATAGTGAGCTTGTTGCTTCTCATAGTCTTATGAGGCAAATTTTATGCAAAGTGATAGAAGTCAGACAGGTTCAATAACTTGAGCAGGAGTATGCAGCTGTGATGTTCTTCCATCTGACTCCCAAACACAGCTCATTCCACTCTCCACACCACCAGCGAAGGGCTATGTGAAGTGTCGCCCAGCAGGTTAGTGACAGAGCCTGAGGAAGCCCAGGCTGGATGCCAAGGACACAAGGTTCACTCCTCTGCCGTCCACTGCCTCTTCATCATGCATGCTGGCCTGGCAGTAAGTCGTGACAGTAATTTTCCTGCAGAACACAAGGTTTTTTGGCCAGCTGGGCCTGGCAGCTGCTCTTCACCTCCAGAAGGAGAAACCAGTGCACTTTGCTGTCAGCATCTTCCTCCAGGCCCAGAGCTGAAAATGACTACATCGTCAAAATGATCTTCTTACATAGATCCACATATGGGAACCTCAGGGACCAGGGTCTCATCTCTACAGACCTTACAATCCCCTGTAATGACTCTACCCAGACTCACGGGTTTCTAAGGGGACCTCTAACCCATGGCACTGTCCCACATGTGCGCCTACCTTCAAGTCCCGGCTGTCCGCCTCCCGCAGCTTCTGGAGCCGGAAGTCGCCCTCACAGGGATTGAGGGCAGAAGGGGGCGCGACACAAGCACATTTGCAGGATGGGCCCGAGGTGATGGTTTCCACCGTGTAGAAGTCTTCCCTCCTGGAGGCCCCTGCGTTGATCCTCTGACAGGCATCCCGACCCAGCGGTCTCACCACGCACTTGCACTGACAGTTGGAGCCCTCGGACACAGCCTTGACCTTGTCATAGTCCCCCAGCAACTGGACATGGAGAGCAAGGGAGGGGTGTACAAACACAGGCATGGAGCAGATTCTTCAAGGAGGTTCCCCATCTGCTTTGCGCCACACCCTGCACTGTCAGAAATCTCAGACAAGCCTGGTGCATGGAGCTACTAGGTCATTGGCACACAATCTGCTGACTCTGCCTTCCCCTTGAAGGCACTCAGAGTTCAGCTCTCCTCATTTGTCTTGGAAAGCTGTGCATCTCTCAGGGGGCCTTAGCCTTTCAACATCAAAAGGAAAAAACAGACAAACCCCATCATTTTCCCAATAGTCTCTGCCTTCAGCTAGAATTCAGGCTTAGATGGAAAAAAAAAAAAAGGAAAAAGAGGGATGGGAAAGTTAGCATTCAATTTTGAAGGCTACTGGCTTCTCTCCTCATCCATTCATTGAATATCCGAGTGGCCCCCAGAGACTATGGGGGCCATAGTGAGAAGTAGAAAGATGGACCAGACAGACAGCTTACTCCAAAAAGCCTACAGGGCGGGAGACCTATAGTTACAGAGAGTGGTGCAGCAGAAGTGTCCTGAAAGTGCAGTGGAAGCCAAGAGTGGCTCCAATGTGGAATCGGGGAAGACTTTTTGGAGGAAGTGGTATTGGACTTGGGACTTGACAGCTGGATTAGATTTGAAGACATGGAGTTGAGAGGAGACAGGTTTGGAAATTAACAAGGTTTTAACACAGTGTAAAGCATATTTGCCCCCTAGAACAGCTCCTGAATTCAAATCCCAGGCCAAACCCAGGAGAGCAACCAGGCAGTGCTTGCTGCTTCTACAAGGCTAAGCGGTTCCTTCGGAGTGCTTGCCCCCACCTGTCTTCCCAGTCAGGAAAACCTCAGTCAGCAGGCTTGCTAGGTACAGGCTAGGGAAAAGGGCCTCCCTCAGCTAGCGCATCTCTGTCCAACAAGCCCTACATCCCTAAAAGCCACAGCTCCTCTCCTAAGGCAGGCAGAAATGTTCCCTTCCTCTGACCAACGACCCCAGCAGGCAGGCACGCACAGAGCCTGTTTGAGTGGAAATGTTCTTTGGGATGCTGGGACTCGATGGGAGGTGAGGAGAATGGGTGGCTGTAATGCTTTCCTCGCAAAGGTTGGGCTTCTTCTAACACTAATATTTGCTTTAGAGCTGTTGTCAAACACAGAACGGAGCACTGGAAGAAGGAGGTGGAGTTGAGGGTGACTTCAGCTGCCGGTCTTTATGGGCTGATAGTAAATCGTGCCCGTCCCACTCTTAGACACTCTGCTGAGATTCTTCCATCGCCTGGCTCCCCACACCCTGTGTGCACGCCTTTCTCTCAGGCGGCTCCAGTAGCAGGAACATTGTTGTTGATGGCTCCTCTGGTGTCAGGGATCCTTAAGTCTTTTTGATCTAGGGGTCAGGGTGAGTTTCTGGGTGGGTAGAGGAAAAGGAGGAACATGGTCGTCAGAGGCAAGCTAGTGGATGGGGTTTGAGATGGGTCTATCTATAGGAAGGAGGCAGGCTCAGTGCAGGGAGCCGAGTGGAGGTGCAGGCAGCTGTTTCAGCAGCCCTGCTCCGCTGCCCTCCACACCTCTCCCCGCCTCTGTGAAAATAAGCACTGTGGCCGGAACTGCGCCTGCCATCCTGAGAGCTCCACTGCAGGCTGTCAGGAGGTCCCGCCAGCGTTCTCTAGTTCCACGGTCCTCATTTTCTGGAGAATTGCGCCAGCGGAAGTCATGTCCCTCACCGTCATCTCACTGAGCCCCGACGAGCCATCCCACAGACTTGCATGGAACTGCACCCCCCCCATACACCAGGTCTGTGGTCAGTCCCTCTGTTTTGGGGTCCCCCCTCTGCAGGCATCATCTAATTTGCCGTTCAGTCTCTACTGCACACCTCACCCCAGCCATAAGTCATGCCATCCACCTCCTGCTGGATATGCCCACTGTTTGCCACAGCCCAGTTCCCACAAACAGCCACAAACATGCTTTTCACAGCTCTTACATCGAACTCAAGAATGATACTGGAGTCCCACGGAGCCTTTCCTCGTGCTCTGTGGTCTCTGGATTTGGTAACCTTGAAAGATTCTGTGATTTTTTTTTTTTTTGAGGACGCATATCTTTCCATTTAAGAAAATATCCTGAGACGTGAACATCAAATGCCCTCGCCCTTGGTAACAGAGGGGACCCAGCCGTCCCCACAAACACGTTGAGTTATGACTATCCCTGGGCCCCCGCCACCACTTAGACAGGAAGGTGTGGGGCTCCACCAGCATCCTACCTGGGACAAAACGTTCTCCTGGTTGTCCGCCTCGTTCTGCAGAGTCTCATCCTCCGTGGGAGCCACTGTCTGCACATCTGGGGGCTCGCTTGTCCCTGCGGGAGGAGTGGTGGACCCCCAACCCCGAGCCACGAGCAGAGCGAAACTGAGAAGGAGCAGCCCAGCCTTGGCCATGCCCGTGGTGACCAGAGGGGGCCTTGGCTCCTTCCGAGAACGACTCAACGACTCCAGGGAGCAAAGGTCTCTGCCAAGGACCGAGGCAACAGGGTCTCCCTAGCTGGACCCCGAGTGGCTGCTCAGAGCGTCTTTTAAAGCTGGGTGCGGCTGAGCCGGGTGGAAGGATGCGCCCCAGCGACTCGGGGCATCTCTTTCCCTAGGCGAGCAGTCCTGGACTGTGCAACTCCAGGACAGAGGCAGGGCGCGCGAGAGAGGAGGGGACGGGGGAAGGTGGAGCCGCAGGGCTCAGGTGGAAGGCAGACGGCCAGGCAGACGCGATCGGGAGCGCGCCCGGGCGGGCGGCGGGGAGCCTCGGGGCGCACCAGGACCAGGCACCCGGTCGGGGAAGCGCAGCGCGAGGTGGACGGCGACGGGGCAGGAGGCGAGGGCGGCTGGGCTCGGGCGCCGCGGAGCGTTCGTGCGGAGGGAGGGCGGAGTCTCTATTGTGCCGGGGCCGCAGCGGTGCAGCCAGTGACGGCGCGGAGGAGGAGGAGGAGGACCGCGAGGCGCCCGGGCTCGGGCGGAGGGGCGCGCGGCCGACCCCGCCCCGCTCCCTCGGCCGGCCGCCGGCGCTGCCCGCGGGGAAAGGCGCCCGGGCGCTGCTCTCGTCCCATCGGAGCCCCCGCCACCAGCCGACCGAGATGCCCGGAGCCGGGTCGCTTGCGCCCCTTCTCGCCAAGAGGAGCTAGTATCCCCTAGAGTGCGATGCGGACGCTTTAGCACTGGGGCTACAAGCTCCTAGGCTGTTGCCCTGTTTTGCACCTGGGGCGGGAGGAAAGGAGCGTTTTTTTGCTTTTCTAACTTGACTCTGACTTGATCTCCAGCAGCTTTGAACTTAGGGCCGTTGATGGTTAGCGCGCTTGCCGCTGTTTCAGGACCTGGTAATATCTTCACCCAGAGGATAACTCGAACACTCTGCTGCCGTGTGTCGATTTAGGTAAATGTTGGAAAGTAAGGGGGGTACAGGAAAAATCTCCGATATCGTTTTGCGCGTCCCCGAGGGAGAACGCTCCTGCCCGGGAATTCAAACGGTTCCCAAGGGAGCTCCTTTTACCGTCTTCGTAGTTTGGGACAAGTGTCCTTTCCCCACCCCGTTTCTGCCCCCACGTGACCTCTCAGAGGACGTGCAGCTTACAACAGTGGGCAGTTGTGCTACGATGGCCCTTGGTGGTATTCGTCGTTTACACCTCCTGAAGATTAGCAGGACTTAAGCTGAGACGCTGTGCGTTCCCAGACAGCCGTCACCCTGAGAGAACAGAAGATGTAGAAGGTATTGAGACCTTCAAGCACTTTGCCCCTCGTGCTAAGGAACAGTGTTATAATAATGTAATGCGACTTCTGAAATCTGTGATGACAGTTGACAGAAGCACAACAACAACACCATATTGATACAATTTTAATAATCTTTTTTTTTTTAATTCAGTGTATGAACACAAATCCAAAGTTCCGAGTGCCTGGGTTTGTTGGGACATTAACACATTCTTCTGGGAGAGGTCTCAAGTAGTTGCTGGACCCGTATGGTAGTACCATCTGTAAACTGTAGCTTCACATTTTGGTTGAAATATATGTGCAATGGCGACTGAATACAGGGCCATCAGTTAGGTTGCTGGCCACTCCGCGGGAGTATGTGTCCCTGACAGAGTGTGTGTCCAGCGGGAGGCGTGAGACAGCGTGAGGACTCTGCAGGACAGAGTCCTGTTCCTGACCTAGGAAGGTACATGTAGCACACACCCCCCCTTGCAGCTGGGAGAAGGACCAGGCCACTTCCAGGTGGAAGGTCAGTCAAGATTTCCCAGGAAGAGTGATCCTGAAGATGGCTGGGATGATGAAGACAGGCTTCAATAATTCAACAAGAGGCGAGAGAGAGAGAGAGAGAGAGAGAGAGAGAGAGATCCTACACGCAGCCTGAATGTGCACATGGGATCTCACGCTGCTGCCCATCTCGTGGGAAAGCTTCCCAGAGTCCATTCCCCAGCTCTCCCCGCACCGCCCCCCTGCCTAGCTTGTGTTATGTGCTTCTGCCATACCGTGTATCTCCTGCACTCCTTTGTGGGTTGTTTCAGAGGTTCCTGTCTTCTTAGCTGTCTATAAATTCCATGAGGGCAGGGCCTCTGTCTAGTTTTATTCCGCATTCAATCCTGAGTTTCACCTGTATCTGGAATGAAGTGGACAATAAGAGAATATTGGTTGGATGAGAACTACAAAGAGTGTGATTGGATATCTTCCCACTTGCCCTCATGAAAACCCTATTTGTATCCATTAGGGCTCATTTGACTGCAAATAATGGAAATTCCTACCAGCAATGGTTTCATCAAATAGGCATTTATTTTTCTTCCCCGAGAAGACTGGAGGTTGGTTGTTTGAAATGTGGTTTGGCAATTCAGTGATGTCATCCCCTGCTCTTTCCATTTTCCATTTCATTATTCGTAGGGTATTGCCTTTTTAACCTAATCTGAAGTGATTTAAGCCAATCCCGGCTACCTCATGGTCACACTTTCAGTTTCCCAGCTTTCTTTACAGCGAGGCGTGGTCACGTGACTCCATTCTGACCTAGAGAAGAAAATACAGTCAGGCCCTTGTTTCTGTGGGTTCCACATCCTGAGTTCTGTATCTATGGATTCAACCAACTTTAGATCAAAAAAAAAAAAAAATGCAGTGGAAAAAAAGCATCTGAACAAGACAGAATATCTGCTATTGGTGTAGCATTTCTACTGTATTGGGCATTATGAGTCATTTAGAAGTGATTTAAAATATAAGGAAGGATTGTATGGGTTATATTCAAATATTACACTGTTTTTCATAAGGGATTAGAGCAGTTACAGACTTTGGTTTCCAAGGGAATGGTCTAGAATCAGCCCCCCCCCCCCATGGTGTATCATAGCATGTAATCTGCACGGAATTTCTGGAAAGATGTTTTGCTTCCTGCTTAAAGGAGCATGCAGGAGAGGGGAGTTTCCTGTTACCACTCTGTCTTTGATGGTGGTCAGGGTGCCCAGAACAGCAGCAGGCATCTTGAGCTTGAGTCCTTTCTGCCGTCAAACTGAATCAGAGCTCCTTTAAAAGCTCACCTTTAGTCTCTCTGTAATGTTCAGTCTGATGGTCCTACCAAATGTGTCCAAGACCTTTCCCATACGGCAGCTCTTCTTACACGTACATGCTTTACACTTAGAGATAGAAAGTACTGACAAGTATTGTCGTGTAGTGGTTAAAGCTACTGCCTAAGCACCAGCATACGAGTGGCTGTTCAAGTCCTGCCTATTCCAATTTCCATCCAGCTTCCTGCTAATCTGTCTTGGAAAACAGCAGAATGTAAGTGCTTGGGATCCTGCATCCACGTGGGAGACCTGGACGAATGAACTTTCTGGTTCCTGGCTTCAGCCTGGCTGAACCCTCGCCATTGAGGCCATTTGGGATTCATTCTCTCGCTCTCCCTTTCTCCCTCTCTACCTCTCTGTAACGCTGCCTTTTAAATAAAATAAAGAAATCTTTAAAGATAGAAACTGAGGACCTTCTAAATATTCCCAAACTGTGTCTGGTTTCCACTTGCTGCATCTTTTATCTATGTTTTGTTTAGTTGTTCCTCAGACCACATGGCTGCCCAGACCCTCCTCTTTCCAGGTTATTTCTTCTCTAGAAAAATCTCCAGTTTGAGCAGAATTTAGGGCGTATTGAAACCATTTCTTCCCTTTCCTGAACATTGCTATTTTATTCATGCAGCCCAACACCGCCTTTGCTTTTTTGGCAGCGACAATGCAACAATGATTCACATTGATTTATTTCTCCAGTGTAGATTTCTTTTTTCTAAATTATGAATTTTATGCTGGTTTCCTTTATCCCATGCTTTCCAGTTATGATCATTTAAAAAAAAAAAACGCAAGTACAGCTTTTGCAATTTTATTCACTGAATAGTGTGATGGTTTTGGCCCGTTGATTCACCCTGTTGAATTCTTACTGTTTTAGCTCTTGTCCCAGTTCTGCATAATTTCCAAACCCAGTAGGTATAGTTTCTGTTTAATTCGCATCATTAAGTTTTAAAAGCTGTCTTCATTCAGATAGGGCCAGGTTCTAGAACCCTAGACCGTTAGTAGGAAAAGTCCCTAAATTGATGTCAAGCCGACAGAAGTGTCAGTGCTCCAGATTACGTGGATTATGTGTTTGCAAGAATTTCATGGGAGGTCTTTGTCACCATAGAATGCAAGTTACATGGGTCCGGAGCGATAGCGTAGCAGTTAAAGTCCTCACCTTGAACATCCTGGGATCCCATATGGTTGCCGGTTCTAATCCCATCCAGCTCCCTGCTGGCAGTCTGGGAAAGCAGTACAGCTCAAAGCCTTGGGACCCTGCAACCACGTGGAAGACCCGGAAGAGCTCCTGGCTCCTGGCTTCAGATCAGCGCAGCTCCAGCTATTGCGGTCACTTAGGGAGTGAATGTGCGGTCACATTGGACAGATCTTCCTCTCTGTCTCTCCTCCTCTCTCTACATCTGCCTTTCCAATAAAAATAAATAAATCTTTTTCAAAAAATTAAAAATAAAAAAAACAAGCTCCAATGCTCATGGTATTTGTTGCACTGGTAGCTGAATCTACAGATCCGGAGGTGAGCTTGGTTTGGCTTAGAACATCCAAGTGGATGCACTTGTAGCTCCCAGGATCCTTAGCAGAGAGCTGCCAATGCACATCACTTTGTTCTGAGCCTAAGAGTGGGGAGCAAGTCTATCTGTCCCTGAAAAGCAGATGAAATCACTGCGGCCCCAGGGCCACGGCGCACACAATGGCTGCACTATGCTAAGCACCAACTTCATGCCAGGCATCATTTAACGTTCACAAAATCCCTGCGTTGGCGATATCATGCCCTCTTACAAAGAGAATCAGATTCAGAAAGGAACTCAGGGTGGAAATGTTTAAATAAAAGGGGCTCAGAAGGAGCCAGATATGCTACAGTAACTGCCAGAGAGCCAG